AAAAAAAAAAAAAAAAAAAAAAAAAGGAAAAGAAAAGCCCTACCTCACTGGGCTAGTCTCTCACCTGGCATCACCCAGCCCATGTCCTCTTGAGAGAAGCCGTAGAGGGCATATTACTTGGCCATGGGCCCACTGGATGGAAATCTGCATTCCCAAGCCTCACTCACGTCAAGTAGAAATTTAGCTAAACTTTGGGCTGGGCTTGTTAGATAGGGAAGGGGTAATTACGAGGCTTGTCAGTCTTTCTGAGAATTGTAGCTATTCAATCACAGTGCTTGCCATGCTTATACTCAACCTCAAACTTACCTGGTAGTTCAAAGTTCTACTTTTGATGTAAATTGTTTCACTATTTTGAAAAAAGTTTAGCCAGGGGTGATGTTGCCTGTAGTCCTAGCTACTAGGGAGGCTAAGATAAGATGAGCCCAGGAATTCAAGGCTGCAGTGAGCTATAATTGCGGCACTGCACTCAAGCCTGGGTGACAGAGTAAGACCCTGTCTCTAAAAAATATAAACAAATAGCTGGGCACGGTGGCTCATACCTATAATCCTAGCATTTTGGGAGGTGGTGAGAGGATTGCCTGAGCCCATGGGTTCGAGGCCAATGTGGGCAACTTGGAGAGACTTCTTCTCTATCTTAAATTTAAAAAATTAGTTGGACATGGTGGTGCACACCTGTAATTCCAGCTACTTGAAAGGCTAAGGCAGAAGGATCACCTGAACCCAGAAGGTGGAGGCTGCAGTAGCTGTGACCGTGCCACTGCACTCTAGCCTGGGTGACAGAGAGACTCTGACTCGAAAAAAATATAAATGAATGAATGAATGAATAAGGAAGACAACTATCTGTCTTGTCTTTTGGGGTAAGAGAACATTTCCGATTACCCAACTGTTTCTCTGGCAATTGCTGGAATATTGGTAAAATAGTGTCTAGGCTGATAAAAATCAGATGTTTACCAGGAAGCTGTTACGTTTTTTTTCCCCTTTGACAAAAGAAAGAAACAAGGTCCCTCAGTTCTGCCCCAACCAACCACCTGTGGCTTATGGGATGGGAGAGGAAGGGAACCATGCAGAGGGTCCCCCAATGCACCCCTTTTCCATGCCCCCCCTACTGCAGGCACACCCAGCGTGAAGGGAACCCCCTTTTCTGACAGGGCCTCCTTACCCACCTGGGTAGAAGACCTCACTTTTGGTGGTGCCCTCTCTCCACTGGTGGAAGGTGCCAGAGATGATGGTGTCCGAGATCTCAGCCCAGTAGCGTCCTGAGTGACAATTAGATAGATACTAACTATCAGGATATCCGCACCATCACGCGGCCCTGCCAAACATCAGAAAGGAGGGCATGGGCCCTGGTACAGCCCCAGCCTCCCGGTCCGGACCGCCGCTAGCACTGACCCGAGTGGCCGCGGGAGCCCAGGGCGGTGCCGAAGAGCAGCACATACTCGGACAGCGAGGCGTGCAAAAGGCACATGGCGCCCATCCAGCCGCCCGCGTTCACGAACACCC